GTCCTCCACAGTGACTGGGACTAATTGGACTTCTTTTGACTTGGGTACTTCTGAGAGGCCTCCCCAAGGAATTTCCTAATGGTATCAGGTTGCCTTGTCTATCTTTTGTTGATCTGTATTCATTGATCTAATGTTGGTCTTTGCCACATGTTTTACATATACCTGAAGTCTGAGTCCTCCTATTCTCGCCATTCCCAAAGGAGATATTATTCCTAGGAATTCCTCATTTACAATCCCTTATCAGATGTCCTATTTTACCACAATTAGAACATTTGGCATTTTGATGTCTCCTCATTTCTTTGGAAATTGCTGCTCCTACACAAGATTGAGTATTTAGTCAAATTTCTCAATTCCAAGTTTGCATTTTCAAAAGCCAGAGATTCAATAAGTATTCATCCAGCATGTGGGTCTGTTACTTCTATTTCTACAGCCTTAGTTAATCTTTGTCAAAAGTCACTAAAGTATTCTTTGTGGCCTTGTTTAATCCTGGTACATGGTTCAATTCATTTTCCTCATTCTTGAATCCTGTGCCAATCATTTAAGGCTGCTTTGTGGCATAGGGACAAGATTTGTTCTTCATAAAGAGCTTGAACCTGTGGGTCAGCATAAGTGCCCTTGCCAAGAATTTGATCTTGGGAAGTCTCAAGTAGTATTAATTTTTTTAGGTATCTTTTGAGTTTTGATGTTAATGATCTTTATTGTCCAGTAGGTATCATGGTTGCAGAGTCATGACTAGCAGTCATGTTACCAGAGTGGCTTAAGTTTCTCATGTTGGTACTGGTTAAATACTGAGAAATATGCTTTGCATGAGAGATTAAAAGTAATTAAATCAATTTTATATAGAAAGCAAGAAGCCCAGAACTCTGTCTTCTCTTAGGACTGGAGAGGGAGGGGGAGGGGGAGTGAGAGGGAAATGGGAGGAGGGGAAGAGGTGGAAATTTTTAATAAATAAATAAATAAAATGCTGATATGCCACTAGCTGGGGCGAAAGTATAAGTAGGGCAACCAGACTAAGAGCATTCTTGGAAGATCTAAGGTAGAGATAGAGCCACCAGCCTAATGCAGAGGAAACTAGAAGATAATGTCTTATTGTAAGAAGATACTAAACTGTTATTCCTTTGGGACACTTTAAGAACTAACCACGCCCACCCCAGCCCCT